GCTTCTTCCCCTGTTTCTCAATACCCTAGATACGCTTACATTTCTCGCACGGAGATATGTTCCTGCATACATCTACACTTGTCTTCCGATTCTGCGTAAACGGACGCAGACCGTGCCGCCCCAGGACGAGACGACGCAAAACAGCAGACAAATACGAGCATTGATAAGGCTTCCCTCGCACAGGAAAAATGAACGATGACAAATGGGAAGAAATCCAGCTCCGAAGGTTGGGACGAGGAAAAGATCGGAAAATGCCACATATCCATCAGGTTACGATACCGTTCCTTTCATGACGGTTCCCACCAGGATTTTGGTTGCGGCATGTTGCAAGTCGGCGTGTTCTTGTTGTTCGTCACCGTTTCCCCCCCCCCCCCCCCCATTTTGCAGGTGGAGGTGCTCGTCATCTCCCCTGTGCTGGGCCAGCGTTTTCGTATATATGTGTGTGTGTTCCTTTGGTGTTCAGCCCTTTCCTTCCCGCTGCCCCCCCCTCCTCCCCCCCCCCAAACAACATGGAGGAAAAACGCGCCCTGTAATGAAAAAAACGTGTACGTTCGTGTAAAAAAACATATGTTTACATGCATACAGATACTATATCCTATATCAGGTAGTCTTCAATATACCATAAATATGTACGCATGCATATATACACAGCTCCGCAGGTATGGAGAAGAAAAATAGTAAACAACGTCCCCCCCCCGTCCAGACTACTGAAGAAGCTTGCTGCCGTGGTGGGTCCCAAACGGAGTCCTTTCGCGGCGGGTTGCGCATCGTTTGTGTCGTACGTGTCCCTCCCCCCACCCACCCCCCTGGGAGGCCCCCCACGGGAGGTGGATGCGTTGTTCGTGTGCTTCCCTGTGTGGGGAAAGTGTTGCTTCGTACGTGTTACGTGTTTCTTGGTGCTCGGCTCTTCGGCTCCCGCGGCGGTCCCCGCCGCCCTCTCTTCTTACTCTCTTCCTACTCTCTCTCTCTCTCTCTCTCTCTCTCTTTCTCTCTGTTTCTCTCTCTTTCTCTCTCTCTCTCGCTCTCTCTCTCTCTCTCTGCCTCTCGCGCTTTCTCTCGCTCTCTCTCTCTCTCTCTCGGAGAGGAGGGGGAGGGAGGAGTGGCGGGGAGGAGGGAGGGAAGAGGGAGGAGGAGGAGGAGGAGGTAAGAAGGGGAAGGAGGAGGTGGACTGTTTTTCTCCGCTGGAGCTAGGCGGCAGCCCCCAAACGAAGCAGAAGCAGATTGAAGCAGAGGCATGGAAGTTTCGTCGACGCGAATGTGTTGAAGCAAATGCTACCCCAATGCACTGAAGCAAGGGCAGACTGAATGGCGCCCCTCTCTGAAACTCTCAATGGCTCCCCTCTCCCAGATATAGCATAACGCACCTGAACGCGGCTTGACGCCCCTCCGTGTGGCCTCTGCGAAAGTCTGCAACGACACCCCCCTCCGATCCCCGTTGGCACACAGCGTCGCGCACGTCAAATCCACGCGTGGCCTCCGCCGATCACCTCAACGGAGATTGTCGTGCCCCATGCCTTGGCGACGGCCTGGGAAGAAGCGCGAAGGTCGCCCACGGCGTCCTCGGGCGTTGAGACCACGGCGCGGCGGAACCGGCACGCGTTCGCGGACGCGCCGTGGACCGACGCCACTTCGCATTCCAAGTCGGCCAGCGTCGTGTCCCCGATGGCGCCGAGGGCGCAGCGGAGCTTCGGTTCGGCGGGGCAGCGGCGATTCTCGAAGTGGCCATCCAAGTACGTGAGCTCGTCTGGGGCGAGCAGCATGTCCACGGTTTGGGACGCCCGAAATGGGTACGGAAAAAATGGGTACAATGCCCAACAACAAATGTTGTCCCAAACCAACAGCGGCCGCTGTTGGGCAGGCGGCCTCTTGTCTCAAATGGACCCTGGCCGCGGCGACACCGACAGCGAGCCCTGTTCAAAATTAACAGGAAGTGCTGTTGGGCATCGTACCCATGTTTTACGTACCCATTTCGGGCGTCCAAATTTGTGGACGTCCACCGAAAGGTTCCACAGGATCGGGAGGTCGCGGATTTGCTTCCCCAGACGAGTCATGCTTCGCCTTCTCCGCTGGCACCGACATGTAGTCGGCGAGGGCCGCGCGCCATGCCATGCAGTTGACGCCGAACGCCGTGAAGGTGGGCATATCCTCCTCCACCTGACACGTTCGCGAGACCTCCCTGATCAAGACGGCCACGAAGCAGTTGTTGATGCCAACATCCACGAACACCCTTTCTGTGGTCGACCAGAGCGGTCCCAGCCACGCGCTTCTTCGGGGCGCGCTCATTGTTCGCCTCGAGCTTGCGCTCACAGGCGGGGGGTCCCTTCTTGGGATTCCCCATTGTGGAAAGGAAAGTGTTGGTTTGATGGTAGCGTGGCTGAGGACGAGCAGAGGTAGCGGGAAGGAGAAAGGAGAGGGGAGAAGAACAAGACATGGGTTATGGCATGCATGGTTTGCTATGCTTCTCTCCCACTCGTTTCCTCCCGAGGCCCCCCTTCGCTTCCCATTCGCTCGCCCTCGGCAGCGGGGCAAGGAGGAAAAAGCAGCAGTGCGTAGGGAGCCAGGCGAGGAGAGCAATGGGATGAGCGCGTAGAAAATCAAGACGCGGCTACGGAGGTGGACGAGACCAGACCAGAGCGAGGTTGGAGAGAGGTGAAGACATAAGAGTTTGGGCAGGTGGATTGTGAAGAGACGAGGGGAAGATTGTGAAGAGACGAGGGGTCGTGCAGAATTAGAGGAGGTCGCGGCGGAGAGTGATGAGAACGATGCGGACGTACAGGCAAGCAGATGAGGGGGAGCACGGAGAAGAAAGAAGTGGAAGACATCGAACACAAGTCAAAATGTAAAATCCCTGTGGGTGAACCTATATATTTGCGTATATGTATACACCGGTACACATAATCAGACACCGATCGATACAAATACATACATATATATATATATATATATATACATCTGCTGACATGCATACATACATACCTATATACATGCATGCATCCATACATAAGTACGCATTTACAGACAGGCATACACATATACATATACGTATGCGTATACACCAAAACAAACATAAACATACCTATGTATATATACATATGTATAAACATACATACATGCATGCATGCATACATGCATACATATGTACATACATGCATACATGCATACATGCATGCATTCATGCATGCATGCATGCATACATGCATACATGCATGCATGCATGCATGCATGCATACATACATGCGTACATATATGCATACATACATACATACATACATACATACATACATACATACATACATGCATGCATGCATGCATGCATGCATGCATGCATCCATGCATGCATGCATACATATATACATACATATGCATGTTTGTGCACATGTATCGTATTAATGTGCATAATTGGACAATGTACAATGTAAATACAACATGCTTACATACATAGTGATGTTCCAACCGTCGCCCGACTAATTCAGGATCCTGGTTGGGCCTTTTCGGAGTCTCTTGAGGACGTTTGCAGGCCGTCTTGTGGGCCTCCTGGGCCGTCTTGGGGCCCCCTGGTGCCGTCTTTGCTCCCCTGGGCAATCTTGGGGCTGTTCTGGGACTGTTCTGGGGGGCTGTCTTGGGGCCCTCTTGGGCTGTCTGGAGCCCCTATGAGGGCCCTCTTGGAGCGTTTTGGGGCCGTCCTGGGCCCCTCTTGGGCCGCCCTGGGTTCGTCTTGGGGCCCTCTTGGGCGCCTATTGAGTCATCTCGGAGCGACCCTGGTGGCCTCTCCGGCCGTCTCGAGCGCCCTGGAAACCGAAAAGCCGAGCACGCGAAAATGGCAGCCGAACCCAAGGAAAGCTTGTCATTGTTGCCTCCCCGGGGGCCTCCTGGGCTGTCTTCGGGCTCCCGGGGGCCATCTGGGGAGCCCGTGGGGCCGCCGAGTGGCCATCTTGGGTCCCTCTTGGGTCATCGCGGACCCATCGTGGCCGTCTCGAAAGCTCGTCGGGCACTCCTGAGGCCTCCTGGGGCCCTCCCGGGCCGTCTTGGGGCCCTCTGGGGCCGTCTTAAGCCCTCCTGGGGCGCTCGCGACCCAGCCTCCCTGGCCGAAACCGAACTTGTGCCGGTCAGTTTTCCATGAAAAGGGAACCGGCTGTATGAGCACTCGGCGACTTATACATCTACCTCCGAAGCTAGCTCCGCGGCTGCACGGCGACGCTTGCCCGCCGCCCGGTCGCAATCCATGCCTGGGGGGGGGCGAGGAAGGCGCCACAGCCAAGTGCCCAGGGCTGTTGGTCAGGGCCATCCTCCTGGAGACCTCCCGTGAAGGGCTCCGAGGAACATGTTAAAAAATCGATGGGTTCTTGGGATTGTGACCCCTTGAGGCCATCCTGGGGGCCTCTTGGAGGGGTCTCTTGGAGGGAGCCTGGAAGCATGAGGACTGGGGTCTGGGGTCTGTGGGACTGGGAGCTGAGGCCTCTGGGATCGGGAGCTGGGGTGTCTGGGGCTGGGAGCGGGGGTCTCCGGAACTGGGAACTGGGGTCTCTTGGAAGGGCCCTCTGGGGAACTGGGGAGGGGCCAGGAGCTCTCCATGTGCGGGGGCCGAGGGCGGACTCCCAGCCATGTTCCCAGAGAGGGTTGTCCAACGGGCGCCTTTTGCGGCCTCTGTTTTGCTTGTTTTTGGCAAGGGCCGTCCTGTGCCCCCTTCTGTGTCGCTGGGGATTCAACAGGCGAGAATGGTCAGATCAGAGAACCCTCCAGCTGCTGTAAGGATTTTGGTGTCGCGAGCCATCCAAAATACCCCCAGCAGGACCTCAAGACCAGCCCCAGGGGCCATCTTGGGGCATGTTGAAGGGCGACCGTCCAGGACCTGGGAGGGCTCCGCTACACGTCAGAAGCACGGTGGCGAATTCACCAGCATTGCCTCATGGTCCAAGGCGTCGGTTGGTTCCAGTGTTTGCAGCTCCGGCGGAGGAACATGTCGAGAGTTCGGAATACGTTTCAAGTCCCTGGCGGCCGAGAATCTGTGACTGGAGCTTGCCGCCCTCAGGAGTGCGATTGGGACGAGATTATGCTACCACTGGTTGGTCCAGAGATCTGGAGGTGGGCAGACCCTCGTGCTCCAGTTACATTCGCACTCGTGCGTCTTCGGGTCCTGAGCTGGCAGAAGGTAGTCTCTGGATCGATGTTCCAGAGGTCGCAGAGGGTGGGTTACGCAAGGATGAATGATCCAGGATGAGTAGTCCAGCAGGAAAGTACGTCTCGATTGACAATTGTTCTGGATGGATGAAGGGGAATAGTAGCGCAGGGCAGTATGTTGAACAATTCCAGTAGCCGTGCCAGTTTCACCACACCGCGTTGGCACATAGTGCGCATGAGTCTAAACCTTCCCCCTGCTCTGAAATCAATGCAACTCGTTCTCACCCTTCTCCTCCACAGATGTGTCCGTACATGTGCAGCTGGCTGCAGGTTCTAGAACGTGTCTGCCACGTAGTCTGAGTCACAGGTTGTTAACAGCTGAGATGAAGATACTGCAGCACAAGCTGGTTGTTCCATGAGATGTCCTAGCGCCACATCCTGAGAGCAGCAGCACCAGCATCGTCGTGCGTGCAATTCGGGCATGGCTTGCCACGTTTGCGCCCGTGGGTCTCTCTTCTGTGTCTCTTCCCGTCCTAGGCTGCCAGTGGAAGAGCCCGAGCGGACCCGCAACTGGATCCGCGGCTGGGTCGTTCCCGGGTGGCACTCAGAGCACATTTCGAGCGGGGGTACACAGCTGTTGCCAAGGGGCGGAGGCGGAGGGGGGACATGACAAACCATAACAAATAACAGCAACAACCACAACAACAACGTAAAGACCTCAAAGCGGAGAAGGGACGAGGAGGGAGAGCAAGAGCAACAGGTGGAGGAATGAGGAGGAGGAGGAGGAGGAGGAGGAGGAGGAGGAGGAGGAGGCAAAAAGGGGAGGAGGGATAGGATGGAGGGAGAGGGAGGAAGGGGGGGCGAGAGGAGGAGGAGGAGGAAAAGGAGGAGGGGGAGGTGAGGGATGTGAAGAGGGGAGGGCAGGAGGAGGAGGAGGCGGAGGGGGAGGAGGAGGAGGAGGAGGAGGAGGAGGAGGAGGAGGAGGAGGAGGAGGAGGAGGAGGAGGAGAGGAGGAGCAGGAAGGAGGAGGAGGAGGAGGAGGAGAAGGAGGAGGAGGAGGAGGAAGAAGAGGGAGGAGGAGGAGGAGGAAAAGGAGGAGGAGGAGAAGAAGAATAAGGAACCTGAAGAACGCGAGGTGGGGAGGGTGTGAGAGACCCGAGGTGGGGAGGGTGTGGAGGACCCGCAGGTCAGGAGGTGGCCGAGACCAGGAGCGCGGCCGAGGGATAAGGACGCGGGGGGGGGCGGGGCTGAGATCCACCGGAGGAGCCCAGACCCGCCCCACCCCCCGACCGTGAGGACGGCGAGGACGACCCCACACCACGACGGGCAGGGGAGGCGCCGTCGAGGAGAACAGTGTGCAGGAAGGGGACGGCAGGCGCGCACGCCAGGCGGCGAGGCCCACACCGTCTCCCACAAGAGGTGGAGGAGCGGAGTAGGAGGAGAGAGGAGGAGGAGGAGGAGGAGGAGGAGGAGGAGGAGAGGAGGAGGAGGAGGAGGAGGAGGGAGGAGGAGAGGGAGGAGGAGAAGGAGAAGAGGAGGAGAGGAGGGAAGAGAGGAGGAGGAAGAGGAGAGGAGGAGAGCGGAGGAGAGGAGGGAGGAGGAGGAACAGGAGGAGGAGGGAGAGGAGGAGGAGGAGGAGGAGGAGGAGGAGGAGGAGGAGGAGGAGGAGGAGGAGAAGGAGGAGGAGGAGGAGGAGGAGGAGAAGAGAGGAGAAGAGAGGAGGAGGAGGAGGAGGAGGAGGAGGAGGGACCAGTGCAAACCCAAGGCACATCAACGGTGTTGCAATGAGCCGTCCCTTCAGGCTCCCTCTTCACAGGTGCCAGTAACAGTGTATGTTCATTACTGGAGGCCCCCTGTTGGAAGACGACCGTCTGATACTCTTTGATCGTGCCACAGCACCATTCCTGCGGCCTCAACTTCGCGAGTCAGCGTTACGGTTACGTCCTGACGATCACGACTCATCCCAGAACAGCAATCCTGGGATTTGCACCAAACGATTGTTTGAAGTTGGTGCAAAACGTGTCAGACCAATGTGCGCGACGTCAAGGCGAGAGCCACATTTTGAAAGCCGTCTGTCATCCATCCGTGGAACGTTTGCAGCTTGTAAGAACGAATGTGCACGGCGCTGAGGCGACAGCCACAGATTGAAAACGGCCCGCCCTCCATCTGTGGAGCTCGTGCAAGTGTGTTAGCACGAATGTGCGCGGCCGTAAGGTGAGAGCCACACTTGGAAAACGGCCCGCCCCCCATCCGTGAAGCTCCTGCAAACTTTTGGGACAAGCGTGCGCGGCGCGGAGGCGACAGCGGCATTTTGAAAACGGCCCGCCCTCCGCCCGTGAAGCTTCTTGCAGACTTTTAGGACGAATGTGCCCGGCGCTCCGGCGACAGCCATACTTTGAGAACGCCCCGCCCTCCGCCCGTGAAAGTGCTGCAAAGTTCGAGCTTCAGTGGTGAAGGAGTCTCAGGCGAAACGCCCGGCCCGCCCTGCTGACACGTTCCAGGGTGCCACAGTGACGAGTGATTCATAAAGAGGATGGAGGGAGGAGGGAGGAGGGAAGAGCGAGGAGGAAGGAGGAGGAGAAAGGAGGAAGGAGGGAGGAAGGACGAGGAGGAGGAGAAGGGAGGAGGAGGAGGACGAGGAGGAGGAGAAGGGAGGAGGAGAAGGGAGGAGGAGGAGGAGGAGGAGGAGGAGGAGGAGAGGAGGAGGGGCACGAGGAGGAGAGAGGAGGAGGAGGAGGCGGAGGAGGAGGAGGAGGAGGAGGAGGAGGAGGAGGAGGAGGAGGAGGAGGAGGGGGGGGGGGGAAGGAGGGAGGGAGGGAGGGAGGACAGAGGAGTAAGGGGAGGGAGGTGCCAAAAAAATTAGTTTGGGGCCCCTTTCTGGCGCTGGGAAGGTCCAGCGCAGCTCGGGATCGGCTCTTGGATGCGACTGGAAGCACACAGAGGCCCCTGGAGGCCCAGAAAGAGGAGAAAGCGGAGGAAGAAAAAGAAGAAGTTGACGGAGACGAAGACGGAGACGAAGACGAAGGCAAAGAGGGCATCAAACAGAACATCGAAATGCTCATGCTCTGTAGCCATCGACCTCCGAGGCTCGAGGGTCGAGGGCGTACCCCGTCGGCTTCTTCCCGCAAGGATCCTCACACTCGTCGTGGCGTGGGCTGCGCGGTGCGACGGCTCCGTTGGGGAGAGGTTTCGGTCTTGGATGCGCGGTGGTTGCCAGGTTCTGCTGCCTTCCCAGCCTGCTCCCCAAACAGCTGTTGCATTTCGGGGCCCTTACCTGCTCGCCCCTGAACTGCGAGGAAATCTCGAGCGAGAGCGCGATCAGCATGCGAGGAAGTCTCGGGCGCGAGCGGTTGTGATTGTAGTCTGGGGGCCCAGCAGCACAGCTTGAGCCCGAAGACTTCCCTTCACGAAGAAATTCTGCGAGCGCCCAGGAGGGCACACCAATTGAAAACACAGTGGGCACGCAGGGGAAATCAACAGTAATCATTGTGCAGTTCTGGCGATCGCTTTCCGAATGCCTAAACGCTTGGATTTAGGTACCAAGGCCGATCCTCCAGAAGTGTCCTGGAGTGCGTTCTGGCCCAGATCTCGAAGCAGATCAAGCCGCTGCGATGAGGGCGCTCCATCCAGGAGGACAACAGAGGCCAAAAATCGCCCGCAACCGCGAACCTCGCTCCCGAGATTCAGGAGGGGAAAGAACACACAGACACAATGAATCGTCGATCCCCGAGAAAATACGGTAGAGGGAAACAATTGCTGAACACTCCCCCGCCCCCCCAAACTCATTGTTGGCACGCGCGGGGGAGACTGCGGTCGAAGTGCATCTCATCAGACCCACCGCCAACTTTGAACATTGGGGGGAGGGGGAGGTGTTGACGGATGAGTGTGGCATGTGTTCGCTAACTTGTTCCGAGGCCCGTATGGGAAAATATGGGAGGTGGGGGGGAGGACAAAAACCCAGAAAATAGAGGAAGATATGAGGAATCCTGCTTATTTGTGTGTATTTGTTTCTGTGTCCCAGGGCCCCTTCACAGATGTTTCCTCGCGACGCTCGGAGGCCTGGGCGGGCGAGGCTTCGGGCCTGCGCGCAGACAGCCCTCCCCCCCGCCCGGGCAGTCCCGGCCGGCCTCAGCGGGGCCCCCCGAGTAGCCCCAGCCGGCCTCAGCAGGCCCCCCGAGTAGTCTTCGGGTGCGGCAAAGAGGGGAGGGGGGGGGGAAGAGGGGGGGGGGGGGGGATGACGAGGGGGGGGGGGATATCATGGCGGGGGCCATGATAGTTCCCCAGATGTCATGGCGCCTCTTCTTGTTTCATCACGTTTCTGGCCCCCCCGCTGGGCCGCGCACATACCGCCGGTCATGATCTGCACCCCCCCTTCTTGGACACCCCCCTCGTGTGAAGGAGCCCCGGGACACACAAATAAACACACACAATTCAAAAGCTCCCCCATACTTTTCCCATATTTTCTGGGTTTTTTTTGTCTTTCCCCCCCCACTTCCCATATTTTCCCATATATTCTCTGGGGAATCGACGATTCATTGTGTCTGTGTGTGTTTCTTCCTTCCTGATCGTGGCCGCTCCCGAGAGCAGCCCCAGCCGGCCTCGACAGGCCCCCCCGAGCAGCCCGGGGCGGCCTCAGCACGCCGAGCCCGGGGCGCGGAGAGCGCCCCGGGGGGGCGCCGCGGGAGGCAGCGCCGGGGCGTGCAGATGCCCTCCCGGGCTGTTCGGGAGGCCTGGCGAGGCCAGCGGGGACGCCTCGGGGGGCCTGCCGCGGTCCGCCGGGCCTGCCTGGGGGGGGGGGGGGGGCCGCCTGCGCGCCGCCCGAGAAGCCTTTTCCAAGCTGGGCCTCCCTGGGAGGCGAAGTGGCGAGGGAAAAGGACCAACGCCGCGAGGGATCGCGCCCGGGGGGGGGCCGCCTGCGCGCCGCCCGAGAAGCCTTTTCCAACCTGGGCTTCCCTGGGATGCGAAGCTGCGAGAAAAAGGACCAACGCCGCGAGGGATCGCGCCGGAGCCCCAGGCCGAAGCTTGCTGCAGCGCTTCTCGGCCCGGATGGAGCTGCGATGGCCCCCGGGCCCGAAGCTGGGCGAAGACGCCTGGTGAGGAAGTGCAGCGCTCGGATCTGAGGGCTCCAGGCCTCCGAGATGGTGTCGGAGCAGATGTTACTCGCCTCGAACTTATCCCTATCCCTAAGATTGAAACGCCAAAAGGCGATGACAATCTTAGGGATGCGCCCTCAAAAGATACGGGAATCCCTAAGATTGGCATCGTGACGAGGAGATGCCCAGCATAGGGATAGGGATATGTTCCAGGCTGGTAAAGATGGGGTCGGAGGATCGCGCCGCGTCGCCGATGCATCGCCGATGCTGCTCGATGTGGGGCCCGATCTGCTTCACGTCGCCGTCGCCGATGCATCGCCGACGTCGACGATGCATCGCCGGTGCATCACCGATGCATCGCCGATGTATCGGCGATGCGGCGCGATCCTCCGACCCCATCTAGGATTAAGTCGGGCCTGTCCCCCTACAGGGGGATTTTCGCCGAAAAAATTACAAATACCTACGAAATAGTCCAAAAATGATCCAAAAATAGTATGGGGATTATTTTTTGAGTCTTGTTTGACCTTCTTGGGGTATTTTTGGGGCTATCTTTTTTCCTTCCGTCGAGAATCCCCCTGTAGGGGGACACGCCCGACTTAAATCTAGGAGGCCTCGAATTAAGGGGCGAAGAACGGTATAAAATAATTTGTTTCGCCGTCGAGGACACCTGCCCCAGGGCGGCTGGAAAGTTTCTACCCTTACGGTGGCACCGTGGGGGTATAAACTTTCCAGCCGCCCAGGGACAGGCGCCCCCGACAGCGAAAAAGTTTATCTTATACCGTTCTTCGCCCCTTAATCGAAGGGTTCCTTCCCCCCCGCGGCCCGCCCGAGGTCGACTTCAACTTCTGCCGGGGCGCGGCGCAGGGCAGCACGGGCATGCGGAGGGCCGGCCTCCGCACGCCGGTGGAGGTGCGCAGCACGCCGCTGGGCACCTGCCTCAAGGAGCGCGCTCGCGCCAAATTTGGGTCCTCCTCCTCCTCCTCCTCCTCCTCCTCCTCCTCCTCCTCCTCCTCCTCCTCCTCCTCCTCCTCCTCCTCCTCCCTCCTCCCCCTCCTCCTCCCTCCCTATCCTCCTCCTCCTCCTCCCTCCCTCCTCCGCCTCCGCCTCCGCCTCCTCCTCCTTGGGCACCTACCTCTCTCTCTCTCTCTCGGGCGTGCGTCGGCGGTGGCGAGGAATCTCGAGGCCTCCCAGATGGTGTCCGTGCAGCTGGGGTCGGAGGATCTCGCCGTCTCGTCGATGCATCGGCGATGCGGCGCGATCCTCCGGCCCCAGCTACTCGGACCCCGTCCAGGAGGCCTCTATCTCTCTGTGTCTCTTTCTCTCTCTCGGGCGTGCGCCAGCGGTGGCGAGGAATCTGGCTGTTTCCCGAAGAAGATCTGGAGGCCCGATCTATTCTAGGCCGCCTAGATGGGGTCCGAGTAGATGGGGTCGGTGGTCGCGCCGCATCGCCGATGCATCGGCGATGCGGCTCGATGTGGAGCCCGATTGTCTCCACGCTGGCGTCGCCGATCCATCGCCGATGTCGCCGTTGCATCGCCGATACATCCGTGATCGCCGATGTATCGGCGATGCGGCGCGATCCCCCGACCCCATCGACTCAGACCCCATCTAGGTGGCCTTTACTCCCGAAGAAGATCCGGAGGCCCGATCTGTGTGCCCCAGAAGGCTTGTGCTCAGAAACAGGCTGGAGACGCACTGCAAGCTTGTGCAAGGATTGCCCTTGCTGACACGAGCTTTTTCGGTTGTGTGTCTCGAGCGGGCGCCGACAGCGGCGAGGGTCTCTTCTCAAAGAAGAATCAGGAGGGAAAAAACATACAGACACAAATAGTCGACGATTCCCAAGAAAATATGGGAAGTGGGGGGGAAGACAGAAACCCAGAAATCATGGGAAAATATGGGGGATTATTTTATCTGTGTGTATTTATTTGTGTGTCCTGGGGCCCCATTCAAAGAAAACTGCATAAACAGAAATTTCATGTGGTCTGGGCGGATGTCTTGGGCCAGCGCTGGGCCCCCATGGCGGCGTCCTTGGCGCCGCTTCCGATGCGCTCCGCGCGCCGGGGAGGGGGGCCCAGCGTCGATCCAAGAAGCCTGCGCAGACCTGTAAGAAACCTGCGTGGGCCCAGATCTCCGACGCCTTGAACGAAGCAGCACGGAGGTGTTTCGTCGTGTGCGGCCTTTGGGGGACTTCGCGGGGTCCCAGGAGCGTCTTGAGCTGCTCAGGATGCAGAGGCAGCCCTGGGGAAAGGGCGGGAACTTCTGGGGACCCCGCATTGAAGAATATTGGATGTCTGGGGAAGAAGAGCATCATGTGAATGCTTTGAGCTCGTGTACCCACGTATTGTCTTGCAGTCGATAGCTCCTGCCAGGGTGCGCATCGGAGCTTGAGCGGAAAAGGCGCGATGGACCGAGGCTGGCGGCGGTGGCAAGGTTTCTGTGGTTCGAGGAAGATGAGCACCAGATGCATCTTATGATGGAGTCGTGCACCCACGTATGATCCTGCAGTCGACGTTTCCTGCCAGAGTACGCGTCGGAGCCTGAGCAGAAAAGGCGCGGTGGGCTGAGCCCGGCGGCGGCGGCGACGGATGGGGGCATTGTGGGAGGCCGCTCGGAGGGCCGCGCCGCCCACACGGCCGGCCCAGGCTCCTTACGGGGCCACGACATGTGCGAGGGGTGTGCCGAAATGGGTGTGGTGGACGCATGTGGACGGTGCGGTTGGGGTTTTCGGTGGAGTTCCCTATGGGGCCACGAGACGCTTGAGGGGTGTGCCAAAATGGGTGTGGCGGACGCATGTGGACGGTGCCATTAAGCAATTAGGTGGAGCTCCCTATGGGGCCACGAAACGTGTGACGGGTGCGATGAAATGGGTGTGGCGGACGCCTGTGGACGGTGCCATGGGGGATTTAGGTGGAGCTCCCTATGGGGCCACGAAACGTGTGAGGGGTGCGCCGACATGGGTGTGGCGGACGCATATGGACGGTGCCACTGGGGCCTTCGGTGGAGCTCCTTATGGGGCCAGGCAACGTGCGAGGTGTGTGCCGAAATGGGTGTGGCGGACGCATGTGGACGGTGCCTCTGGGGCCTTCGGACGAGCTTCCTATGGGGACACGAAACGTGTGGTGGTGTGGTGGACGCATGTGGGCGGTGCCACTGGGGTGGGCCTCGGATGAAGCTCCCTATGGGGCCACGAAACGTGTGAGGGGTACAGTGATGGTGATGATGACGACGATGCTGTCGATAGTGACGATAATGGCGATGATGGTGACGACGACGACGACGACGACGGCGACGACGACGACGATGATGATGATGATCACGATGATGATGATGATGATGATGATGATGATGATGATGATGATGATGATGATGATGACGATGACGATGATGACGACGATAAAGATGATGATGATGATGATGATGATGATGATGATGATGATGATGATGATGATGATGATGATGGTGATGGTGATGGTGATGGTGATGATGATGATGATGATGATGATGATGATGATGATGATGATGATGATGATAACGATGAGAGGAGGAGGAGGAGGAGGAGGAGGAGGAGGAGGAGGAGGTGGATGAGGAGGAGGAGGAGGGAGGGAAGGGGGGCAGCGGGAGGAGGAGGAACGCGGGGCGCTGTCTCTTCAAAACGAGGACCCAACACCACATAATGGTTGGGGAAAACCGAAGGGATAACTCAGTGTCCGGGAATCCTGTCTGTTAAAAACAGTACCCGAAGGGGGGCCGGATATTTTCCGGACATCATCAGGGAAAGAGGAGAGTAGTATGCATATTGTGTAATCGTGGACGACGAGGAGGGGGAGGAGGAGGAAGATGCGGGGCGCTGTCTTTTCAAAACGAGGACCCAACACCACTGGATGCTTGGGAAAGCATGTCGTGAGAGATCTGGGGGAATCCCCAGGCGCCGCGACCCAGCCTGGGAAGCGCACTCCGCAGGGCGTGCGGCGCCCCCTGGGCATCTGCCTCCACGTGCGCGCGGCGTGTCGTTGCTTCTCTCTCTCTCTCTCGGGCGGGCGGGCGCCAGCGGCGAGGCTTCGTTCTTGTTGGCGTGCGCAGCAGATCATGGAGCCGGCTGGTCGGCTGAGGTGGCCAAGCATTGGGTGCCGGGCAGCAGAACAGCGGGACAGGGCTGCTCTCCAAGAAGGAGAACTGGCACAAGCACAGACGCCCGGTGGTCCGAGGACCCCGCGCAGGCCCAGATCCCCCACGCGCTGAACAAATCAGCGAGGAGGTGGTCCGCCGTTTCTGGCCCCCCAGGACCGTCAGAACATTGCTCCGGGTGCAAGGCCAACCCTTGGGCGAGCGTCGGGGTTTCCGCGGGGGCGCACTGGAACAAAAAGAATACTTCGGATCTGAGGGGAAGACGAGCATCACGTGCATCCTTTTGCGTGTCGTACATCCACGCGTGGGCTTGCGGTCTGTAGTTCCTTGCTTGGGTACGCGTCGGAGCTTTGGCGGAAAGGGCGCGGTAGACTGAGGCTGGCGGCGGTGGAGGGGCTCTCGATTTTGAAGAAGAAGACGACGAAGAAGAAGAAGAAGAGCATCAGCACCGAGGTGTTTCGCCGTTCTCGGCCTCTCGTGGGGAGCTCTCGGAGGGTCGTCCGCGGGGCGCGGGCCAAGTGCGTCGCGCTCTCGCCCGCGAGCGGGGGGGCGTAGTGCGGGCGCCTCGGGGGGGCGGGGGGGGGGCTCTCGGAGGGCCCTCGGAGGGCTTCGAGGAGGGGGGGGTCGGAGGATCCCTAGAGGGGGGAGAGAATCGGGGGCAACGTGGGGGGGGGCATAGGCCCAAGGGGGGGGGCTCGACCCCCAATCGCCCATTCATCGCCCACGGGGGTCTGATAGCCCACTCCGCCCAGGAACGTGCAGTTTCGCTATCGAAGCATCGCCAACCTATCGGCGATGTATCGCCGATTCAAGCTCGATGTTTCCCGCCCTGAGCTGGTCCCCCCTGTCGTTCCCCCACCAGAGGATAAGCAGGAGGTGAGAGGAGGAGGAGGAGGAGGAGGAGGAGGAGGAGGAGGAGGAGGAGGAGGAGGAGGAGGAGGAGGAGGAGGAGGAGGAGGAGGAGTGGCAGAGGACCAGAGCAAACCCAGGATGCAGCGCCGATGCTGTAGTACGCCTTTTCTCCCCCTCGGCCCATCTCCCTGCTCCAGCCACCTTCTCCCTCGGCTCCCCTCCTCTCCCCCTATGGGCCCTACTCCCCGCTCCACACGCACACACTCCTCCTCCTCCCGCGGGCGCCGCTCCCCCTTTTTCTCTTGCCCCCGTTCCTCCCCCTTGGGCCCTCGCCGCCCCTGTGGCCGCTCCGCCCTCCCTCCGTCGATCCCCTGCACGGAGCGCAAGCCCGACTTGCAGCGGGGCCGGGGCCGGGGCCGTCCGCCAAACAGCCCTCGACAGTTCATGCCGGCGGGCTCGCGGAAGGCCGGGGTGGGCTTCGACGGGCTCAGCGAAGGACCGGGGCGGCTGAGGGGGGGTCTGCCATTGCTCGCTTTCCTCCTCCTCCTCCTCCTCCTCCTCCCTCTCCTCCTCCTCCTCGTCCTCGTCCTCCTCCTCCTCCTCCTCCTCTCCTTCCTCCTCCTCCTCCTCCTCCTCCTCCTCTCCTCCTCCTCCTCCTCCTCCTCTCCTCCTCCTCCTCCTCCTCCTCCCTCCTCCCCTCCTCCTCCTCCTCCTCCTCCTCCTCCTCCTCCTCCTCCTCCTCCTCCTCCTCCTCCTCCTCCTCCTCCTCCTCCTCCTCCTCCTCCTCCTCCTCCTCCTCCTCCTCCTCCTAGCCCTGCGCGCCCAGGAGAGCTGCTGCTGATGGGGGTTGGCGAGCCTCGCCTGACCGAAGATACCCTTCGCTGGCGATCGGCCCGCCCCAGGCCGCATCGTCCAACTCACTGTTCCATCTCACGCCATGTCTCGTTTCTCTTTCTTTCTCCCATGTTGACGTACGTCCACTGGAACGCACAGAGTTGCGACGATGCGTGGTTGTACGACATTAGCGACGAGTTTACGCATGTCGACGTGATCGCGATCACGTCCACGGGCCAGCGGGCTCCCGAGGATCGTTCCACCATCATCACCGACCTGAGGCACCACTTTGCCTTGAGGTACGGCTATACCTTAAGCAAGCACATGAACAGATCGTGCGGCGTGGCTCTTCTTCTGCGAAAACGTGTGTTCAAACGCAATGACGTCGTGGACTCTCGCTACACCAGCTGACCTGCAAGGACGGGTAGCCCTTTTTTTCGATTTCGTTCAGGAAGATATGACATAGTCTTCCCCGTCACCTACTTCCCACCGCGTCCGAGCGGACGCCGCCTCGGTCGAGAGTCTCATGCTCCTCGCGCTCACACTAGCTATCGTGCCACAGTGGACGCAGTGTGTCAATGGATGTCAAAACAAGAACGTGGGCCAGACGACGTTCTACGATCGTCCGGGGCTACGATTTCAATGATGGATACGGCTTTCGCGTTCGCCCTGGTCAGGTTCAGTGCCAGGTGCGGCCGGATTCCCTGGGTATCTTCGCTCGGAACAACACGATGCTGCCGACCAGGTTCTGGAGCTCATGGAACGCCATAACCTTGTCGCGATCACTACACACTATAACATCGGTCCGACGTATTTGGGTGCCAAAACGTGCAGCACCATCGACCACACTGCTGTGGATTATGCGTTTGTACCTGCTGTTACACACTGCGCTGCACTGCGACGGGCCAACATGAAGCTCAAGTTGATTAGCCAGCAGGGTATCCAGGATCATGTGCCATTGCTTCTGAATGCCGACTACAGATTCGACCTGAGTGATGCGGGCACAACCCCTGTGAGATGGGACTTCGATCGTTTGGCGCAGGCGTTGCAGAAAGAAGTGGGGGGTCCAGGATTTCATGTTAGACTCAGAAGCTCAGTTCGAGGCTCAGGGCGACTTCCACGACCTACTGCTCCATGAGCCTGCCCCCGATTGTGCATGGCAGAAGTGGGTAGCTCTTGTTTTCTCGACGGCGGAGCGGCACTTCCAGAGACATTTACTGATCCGAAGGTGCTGGGATATGGTCGCCTCCGCAGTCAACTGCTACGGGGACGCCGTCAAGCCCGCGAGGAAGGGAAGGGTGATTTGGCCTCTGCATCGATGCTGGCACGGTGATCTAAGAAGCTTCGCGCTCTTCGGCGATCTCGGCAAGAGGAAGCTGTCTCTCAGCTGGTAGGCGAATTCAGTCAAGCATGGCGAGGACGTCGACATGCAGAGGCGCGGCGGCAACCCCATCTTCTGGCTGGACAGCGCGGAGGACCCAAGCGCCGCCGCTACAACCTCGCCTCCTCCCACGCCCCGCGGATGAGTGAGATCAGATCGCACTCCCAGCAAGCTGGCCCTCTGGGAGGTTTCTCTGCCGCCCCCGCCTGTTCCCCCTACTACCAGCGGGCTCTGGCTGAGGGCCTCCCTGCCCCTCCTCCGCTGGGAAGCGGCAGCTCCGAGCACGCGGAGAAGGGGCGCGACGACCTGGCTGCTGAGCTGGCGGCGACGGCTCCACGGCGCAAGGCGGCACCACTGCATTCGATACCGTCGGAGCTTATAATGATCGCGCTGGACCCGACGAGGCGCTTCGACGGCTCGCACAGGAGACCTCGCCGTCGCCGCGGAGAGGGCGGTGATGGTGACGAGCCCGAAGAGGTTTCTCAGGCTGCGCCTCATCGCTCCGAGTTTGTCTCTCGCCATCGGCATGGGGGGGGGCCGACGCGGCCTGGGTTCTGATGCCACCCAGACGATCTCGAACGAGCACAGTCTGAAAGCCCTTCAGATAGCATTTCACCACACCCGACGCGCACGCCGCACACCGATTGCACGGCATCACTCGAGGGCCACGGGATTGGACAGACGTACTGGCAAGGATGGTTTCTCAGCGCGTCGGCACAGTCATGGCTTATGCCGCATGGGAGCGTTGTGGCACAAGGCTCAGCTTCATCGTGGCCCAGAAGACCGAGTCCCTGACCGTGAGCACGGATATCATCGCCGGCGTAGTCGTGGGGGAGCCCTGCTTTGTCAGGAGGCATTGTTAGGGCGCTCGAGGTCACTGGGGGGTTCCATTGTGACGGCCAAGGAAGACATGGCCAACGCTTTCGGTTGCACTGCCTTCTCGCCCCTTCGGGCTACCGTGGTCACATCGATACGCGAGGACACGCGCTGTCATTTTCACCAGCGTCGCGAGAAAAGCACTTTCACGATTGCGGGCGCCGACGGAGAGCAGACCATGCACAACCTCTGCGGCGCCTTCATGGGCGACAGCCCCGCAACCCTATTTGTTCGCGCGCGCACCTTCCGTCAGCCTGCACAGCCTTGGCTGGATGCGATGAGGGGAAAGACCGGGCGAGGCGAGGCCCCACCGCGCCTGGCCACCTACTCTGAACGGTTGGAGGCTGAGCTGACCCCACCAAGGCCTCCGACGCTTCCCTCTCGCACGGTGTGGCCTAGCGAGGCGGTTTGCCCCGCGTGGGTTCCAATTCTCCAAATGGCATGCCGCATTTACGCCGACGGCACCAGCAAAACGCACGTTGCCACCTCGGCGCCGAACGCTCGACACACGCTCGAGGTCGCCCACTGGCACCTGCACGCTGCGCTGGAGCCAGACGGCTATGCGCACAATCCAGGACAAAGCAGCGTTACCCCTTCGTTCGTTGGCCAGGGCTCTCATAAGCACGCTGCTGCTGTGTTCGGGGGTACCGTTAAGCTGCCTGGCCAGGTCCAATGTGGCAGCGTTGCGTTGGGCACCCGGACTACCGTGAACGGGGGCGTCCAGGGAGAACTTCAGAGGCGCAGATTGGCTTGCAGGAGGGGCCACTACACCACGGGCAGGTTTTGGAGCCAGAACCAGGTTTGGAGCTTCACGAGGATCGTCTTCGGGGCCGTGGTCCAGGGTGCTCTCTTGTCAGGCCTCACTACCCTGATCCTGTCCGAGGCCCAGGCACGGCGCCTGGACCGAGTGATGGTTGGCTTCGCGCGCAAGCTCTTGGGGGGAGGAGCTTGCATCAAGACGGAGGAGGTGGATGAAGGAGGCGCCCCTGTCGTCGACGAGCTAGGTCGTCCTGTTCTGCGGTACCGTGCCCTCACGGATGTCACCGTCTTGAAGAAAGTAGGTGTTGCCCCCTCAGGCGTGGAGTTGCGGGTGAGACGGCTTCGCCAATACCAACAGTGGATCCGACTCCCCGATCGTCATCCTCAGGAGCTAGGAGCTTTGTTTGGGCAGTTACCCATGGAGGAGAGTCCCACGGTGACCGAGCCTGGCTTGTTCCAGGAACACTTGGACTCATACGCCAGCCGCTTCGCGCTCGACATCTTGAGCCCCGTCCAGAAGTCCGAGGCGTCTCTTCTTGAAGGTTGGTTGTTCTCGGGACCCTCATCAGAACCAGCACTGCGTCTGAATGTCAAGGCCCTGTTCATGGATGGGGACCTCAAGGAGCAGTTCCTGGCCATAGACCTTGGGCTCTTACGTGCTGCCGGAAAAACTTGTGTGATCCCCCCACCTCCTGGGCTCTATGGCGCTCTTCCTGGCCTCGTGGATCGCGCAGGTGCCCTAGGCGCGCCCCCCCCCCCCCCCCTCCCACGGCGAGCTGGGCGCGTGACCTTAAGGACTCCCAGGGGCAGGTACGCGGCCAGGTCTTTCAAACTCGACGGGCCCGTTCTGGCGCACCAACGGTTCTCCAAGGATGGAGGCCACACGTGCAGGTCCATCGTGATTTCCATCATCGCCACGAACGAATGCATCTTCTGTCACCCATCGTTTCGCACGCATCGCATCGCACAGGAACACGCAGCACAGGCAGCCCTGAAGGCCCGATGTCCTCCGAGAGCCTCGACGTTCCATCACCCCGCCCTGGAACCCCATTGGCCTGCTCTGCCCCTTGTCCGGGATTAAGGTGGCCTCGATCCTCGGCGGTCATTGTTCGGAGCATGCGCGCGGCTGCGCCGAGCCGCCTCGGGGCCGAGCCGAGCTGACCAGACACCTTCGCACGCGCGCCCCGCGGCGACCCATCACCTTCGGCATCGACGTTCCGCCTGGGCGAGAAGGAGCTGGACGCGGCAAGGCGGTCACGCTCCAAGGGAGGGGGCTCGCAGAGAGGCCGCCATGGCTCGGCAGCCGCTCCCCGACCTTGCGGAGGGCGGCGCGCCCAGCGCAGCAGGGGCCCGCGGAGCGACGGCCATTGGCAGCCACAGCGGGCCGCGGGCGGCGGCGCGGCGAAGGCAACAGGCAGCGACGACCTCAAGATGGAGCTTGGCAGGAGCCACGGGATCCCCGAGGATACGCTCGATAGGCCCCCGCCCATGAACGCCCAGCTCATGGCGAAGATAGTACCCATCTTGATGAGAGCCGTTCTTGGAAACCCATTCATGCCGCGTCAGATCACGGCGGCAGACTTCATCACGATGACAATGGACGAGGACGCTCCACTTGCGCAGTCTGCCTTTCGAGCAGGCCGCGCGCGCGCGACAGGAGCCGCTCGCCTTCGCGACCTGCATCAGAAGTCTCCAGACAGCTCGCAGCGCGACGCCACGGAGTCGGTGGGAGCGCGCAACTCCAAGGACTGGGCCGACCAGAAGGGCAGGCCTCGCGCCAAGGTCACACAACGAACGGGTACTCCAGCTCGCCCTAGACGAACTGGATCCGTAGACAGGCCTGGAGGGAGACTGTCACGTAGAAATGCGCAGGATGATGTGGGCAGCGGGCGTCAGGCTCGTGGCTCTAGATTGGATCCAGTAATTGACAGAATGAGAGGTTTTAATAATGATGCGGGCATTTTTGGGACTTCCTTGTTTGATGCGCGTGGGGGTTGTGGCGCTGTCGCTGGGAGCGCAGTGGATCGTCCGAGGGCCGAACACGATGGGAGTGATGGGGATCAGCGACCACGTGTACGCACTGGGAGTGCGGGGGATCAGCGACTTCGTGAGCTCGCTGGGAGTGCAGTGGATCAACGGCGTGCTGATCGAGCTGGGAGCGCCGTGGATCAGCGACCAGGTGTCCTTGCTGGGAGTGCGGGGATCAGCGACCTGATGTGCTCGCTGGGAGCGCTGTGGCACAGCGACCTCCTGCTCTTGCTGGGAGTGCTTGAGATCGGGCGGTTTCGGAGCTCGCTGGGACTGCAGCGGATCGTGTTCCTCGAGGCGCGCTCGGGGGGCCCGTGATCCCCGCGCAGTTCGTGGAGGCAGGCCACGCCGTTGCCGCTGTTGACCCTCCCCCCCCCCTTCCTGGCCACCGCTCCGCTTCTGCCCCTCCTCAGGCCCCGAGATCTCTCAGCGTGAAGGAGTTGGTGGCCTACGTTACGAGGTTTTGATGGTTTTTCGTTTCTCGGGAACTGGGTCTCTTAGGGACCGGTCCTTGTGCAGGCATGTGCTCTCGTCTCGGTGTCTGTGCCTCCAGGTTGAGCGAGGACAACTCGGGGCTCCCTGCTGGGGTGGGCCGTCCACGATTCGCTTGCCAAGCGCACGATAGATCGTATATAGTTGAGTGTTGCCCCGCGCGTTCGCTATGTAGTCTCCCTGGCTGGAGACATTCGGTCCAATATCGTTTCGCCGCCGCCGCCGCCTCCTCTTCCTCCTCCTCGTCATCATCCTCCCCTTCCCTTTCCTCCTCCGTCTTCTCCTCTTCTACCTCCTCCTCCTCCTCCTCCTCCTCCTCCTCCTCCTCCTCCTCCGTTTCCTCCTCTTCCACCTCCTCCTCCTCCTCCTCCTCCTCCTCCTCCTCCTCCTCCTCCTCCTCCCCCTCCTCATTTACTGCCGATGTCACTTCAGCCTCCGAGCACATTGCCTTGCCTCTCTTCAGTATCAGTGTCCTCCCCTGTCTCACCAACATCATGAGCAGCATTTTCATCATCGCCATCACCAGCATCATCATAATCATCATCATCATCATCATCATCATCATCATCAGCATAATCATCAGAGTCAGCAGCAGTTACATCAGCAGCAGCAGTTGCAGCATCATCAGCATGATCAGGACCATGATCATCACCACCACAACCCCCGCATAGCATCATCATCCGCACGATCAGGAGCATAATCAGCACACTCATCAACAACCGCATCAGCAACAACATCAGCATCATCATCGCTATCGTATCATAATTGCCATCAACCGCAGCAGCATCATCAGCAGCAAATCATGATCATCGTCGTCGTCAGCATCACCACCCCATCGTCATAGTAAGGGCGAATTTCTGCATCAATACCATCATCGGCATAATCACAGTCATCGTCATCATGACCAGCAGCATCATCATCGAGTATAACATCACCGAAATAAGTAGCAACGCCACCATCATCATTTTACCATCGTAATCATCATCAGCATCACCAGCACCAGCATCAACATCATCAGCATCGTCAGCATCATCAGCAGCATCATCCTCAGTAGCGTCATGCTCCTCTTAAGCAGCAGCATCATCATCAGCATCGGCATTATCAGCGTCAGCAGCAGCATCGTCAGCATCATCTGCGTCATCATCATCAGCAGCAGCAGCATCATCATCATCATCATCATCATCATCGCCATCATTATCCTCATCATCAACAGCATCATCACCGCCGTCACCATAGTCGCCAGCATCATCTCCATCAGTATCAGAATCACCCTCGCCATCTCCATCGTAATGTCCATCATCATTGTCCTCGTCTTCGTCCTTCCCACCCTCCTCCAGCGCCAGCCAGCCCACGGTCATCCTTGCCAGCCCGCGCCACGCGACCCCTCCGCATCGGCACCCGCCCGATTTCGCCCCGACCGGACGGCTTCAGCTCGCCGTGCGCAACACCATCGCGTCGCAGGACGTGCCACGCAGCACCTCCTCGACTCTTCAAGGCCGCCATGGCTCACGCCGCCGCGAGGACTTAGAGTGCCCCCCTCAGTCGCACTGCTGCTCCTGGTCTCTTTCGACGCCATCGCGACGCACAGCGGCCAGAAGCTGCAGGGGCCTGTCCGACTCCTCTGGCTCGAATCGAACCGATTTCCCTGGCTGCCGATTCGAACCGACTCGATCTGGAGATTCCGACTCGCGATTCCGATTTCAAGTTCGCCCGATCCGACTCTTGCCGATTCGATGTGGTTGCCAGCTTCTGCCGATATCCTGCCGATCGTTCTTCGCCCTGGCTCTTGGATGGTCCAGAAACAAGGGAGGGAGAGGAGGAGGAGGAGGAGGAGGAGGAGGAGGAGGAGGAGGAGGAGGAGGAGGGAGGAGGAGGAAGGAGGGAGGAGAGGAGGAGGAGGAGGAGGAGGGAGGAGGAGAGGAGGAGAGGAGGAGGAGGAGGAGGAGGAGGAGGAGGAGGAGGAGGAGGAGGAGGAGGAAGGCGAGCAGTGGCAGACCCCCCCCGCAGCTGCCCTGGTCCGTCCACGGTCCTGGGAAACTGTCGACGGTCCGGGCGGTCCGTCCACGGTCCGGGGGGTCCGTTCACGGTCGGGGGGGACCGTCGACGGTCCGGGGGCCGACCCTCCAAGGTCCGGGGGGTCCGTCCACGGTCGTCTGGGGGGTCAGTCCACGGTCTGGGGGGTCCGTCGACCGTCAGGGGGGGGCCGTCCACGGTCCGGGGGGACCGTCCAGAGTCCAGGGGGACCGTCGACGGTCCGGGGGCGCCGTCCACGGTCCGGGGGGGACCGTTGACGGTCCAGGGGGTCCGTCCACGGTCAACAGTCCAGGGGTGGGTCCGTGGAGGGACCCCTGGGGGGGTCCAGGGGGGTCCTTCCAGGGTCCAGGGTCCAGGGGTGACTGCTCACGTACCAGACTCTTTGGGTCCGTGGAGGGTCGAAGGGGTTTTCCTTCGGGATGGGCCCGACGATGCAGGTGTGCCTGTTTCGGGTATAATCCACTTCTCGACGATGCCGCTCTTCTCGACGCTTCTCACGGTCCACGACCACGCCCTGTATTTGATGCGGTGTTGGCTCGTGTTCGCCATGATGAAGCTCAGGACGAAGATCATCAGTACCAAGATGTACACCGTCGCGTCGCTCACCAGCAGGATGTTGTCCCCGTCGCGGCCCAAGGTCGAATTGCACGTCTTGCTCATCGTAGCGGCGACGATATTCCGCAGCCATCTTGGCACAAGTTTGGGGGCTCAAGTTGAGAACTTGAGCCACCAAACGTCCATACAGACTTACTTACTATCTTGCCCAGGGGGGCTATCCACCGAGACGCGATGTTGACGCCTATGCCCAAGGCAATTGCGATTGTCTTCCTCCGTTTACTAGCCGTCGCGGCGACCGGCGATGCGGAGCTTGCGGCGGACAACATCCTCATGCAGATCAGTGCTGGAAGTGCGTGGCGACGTCCACAGGCTGATTGTACAGGGGTCCGCAAAAGCTTCGACGCTGGCTTTGGGGGCTGTGACGTGTACACTTCAAACCGCAACAACCACCAGTTCTGCCACAGGGACTTCGACGAGGGCCAGGGCTTCTACGCCGCGCAGGTGTGCTCCGAGTGCCTCGTGTGCCAGGCGCTGTCCCCGGATGCCGAGAAGGCCCGAAGAGGGGATAGATTACAATACAGTCGGGGCGTTGACCTAAGGAACCTCAAATAAGGAACGAGGCCCCTTTTTTCTATAAGTTAAACTTCGATGTCCGATCGAAATCATAAGGAAAACCTGAGGCAAGCTGTGAAACACTTAAGGAACGCGGAGCCCCTCCCCAACGAAAAGCGTTCCTTCTTCAGGGCCCCGACTGTATTGCTTGACCCCCAGAATTGATTTCCCCGTCGAACACATGAGGAAAATACATCGAATAGCCCGTAGATCTACGGAAAAGTGTAGGCACGTTTCTTAGATTCGACGGGAAATCCATTTCGGGGTAAATCGATTATGTGGTCGATCTTGTACTCGAAAGGCGGCCGAGGAGTCGGCGGCCGAGCAGGCGGCGAAGCTGAAGCGCGACGCCGAGCTGGAGAAGGCCGAGGCGAAGGCGAACAAGAAGAAGGCCGAGCGCGAGGCCAAAGAAAAGGCCTGGCAAGAGGAGAAGGAGAAGAGGGAACGCGAAGCGGAGGAGGAGAAGAACAAGGCTCTCCAGGAGGCCACGGAGGCCGAGAACAGGGCCCAGGAGGCTGAGCGCAGGGCCGAGGATGCCAAGCGCGAGGCGGAGGCCGCGGCCGTGCGCCGGGCGCAGGCCGATGCAAAGCTGAAGGAGTTTGCCAATCGTCATGAGTGGAGCAGGGAGCACGAGCAGCTAGAGGCCGAGCACATGGTGCGGAAGGAGGCCCACAGCCAGGCGGTCCAGGATGCGAAGCAAGCGCAGAAGGAGGTCGGCCCGCTCAAGGAAGAGGCCCGGCGCAAGGCAGAGGTCCTTAAAAGAGCGGAGGCCAAGCACAAGGGGGAGGCCGAGCGCAAAGCGGAGGCCGTGCGCAAAATGCAGGAGAAGCGAGAGGAGGAAGAGCGCAAAGCAGAGGCCCAGCGCAAGGAGGAGGCAGAGCGCGCGGCCGAGGGCGAGAGCTTGATGAAGGCGGCGCAGGAGGAAGCGGACCGTATGGCGGAGGCCGAGAGCAAGGTGGAGGCCGAGCGCAAGGCGGAGGCCGAGCGCGCAGCAGAGGCCGAGCGCAAGGCGCAGGCCAAGGCAGCGGCCGAGGCCGCGGAGGAGGCCGAGCGCAAGGCCGAGGCCGAGCGCGTTGCCAAGGAAGACGCCAAGCGGCAGGCGGAGGAGGCCGAGCGCGTGGCAGAGGCCAAGCGCAAGGTGGAGGCCGAGCGCAAGGTGGAGGCCGAGCGCAAGGCGCAGGCCAAGGCAGCGGCCGAGGCCGCGGAGGAGGCCGAGCGCAAGGCCGAGGCCGAGCGCGTGGCCAAGGAAGACGCCAAGCGGCAGGCGGAGGAGGCCGAGCGCAAGGCGGAGGCCGAGCGCAAGGCCGAAGCCGAGCGGAAGGCGGAGGCCGAGCGCAAGGCGGAGGCCGAGCGCAAGGCGGAGGCCGAGCGCGCAGCAGAGGCCGAGCGCAAGGCGCAGGCCAAGGCAGCGGCCGAGGCCGCGGAGGAGGCCGAGCGCAAGGCCGAGGCCGAGCGCGTTGCCAAGGAAGACGCCAAGCGGCAGGCGGAGGAGGCCGAGCGCGTGGCAGAGGCCAAGCGCAAGGTGGAGGCCGAGCGCAAGGTGGAGGCCGAGCGCAAGGCGGAGGCCGAGCGCGCAGCAGAGGCCGAGCGCAAGGCGCAGGCCAAGGCAGCGGCCGAGGCCGCAGAGGAGGCCGAGCGCAAGGCCGAGGCCGAGCGCGTGGCAGAGGCGGAGCGCAAGGCGGAGGCCGAGCGCAAGGCCCAGGCCGAGCGGAAGGTAGAGGTCGAGCGCAAGGCGGAGGCGAAGGCCAAGCGCAAGGCGGAGGCCGAGCGCAAGGCGCACGCCAAGGCAGCGGCCGAGGCCGCGGAGGAGGCCGAGCGCAAGGCCGAGGCTGAGCGCGTGGCAGAGGCGGAGCGCAAGGCCGAGGCCGAGCGCAAGGCCGAGGCCGAGCTGAAGGCAGAGGCCGAGCGCAAGGCCGAGGCCGAACGCGCAGCAGAGGCCGAGCGCAAAGTTCAGACCGAGCGCAAGGCCGAAGCCGAGCGGAAGGCGGAGGCCAAGGCCAAGCGCAAGGCAGAGGCCGAGCGCAAGGCGGAGGCGAAGGCCAAGCGCAAGGTGGAGGAAATGCGGAGGGCGGAGGCCGAGGGCGTGGCCAAGGAGAAAGCCGAACAGAGGGCCGAGGCCGAGGCCAAGCGCAAGGTGGAGGACATGCGCGTGGCGGAGGCCGAGGGCGTGGCCAAGGAGAAAGCCGAACAGAGGGCCGAGGCCGAGGCCAAGCGCAAGGTGGAGGACATGCGCAAGGCGGAGGCCGAGGGCGTGGCCAAGGAGAAAGCCGAACTGAGGGCCGAGGCCGAGGCCAAGCGCAAGGTGGAGGACATGCGCAAGGCGGAGGCCGAGGGCGTGGCCAAGGAGAAAGACGAACGGAGGGCGGAGGCCGAGCGCAAGGCGGAGGCCAAGGCAGAAGCCGAGCGCAATGCGCAGGCTAAGCGCGAAGAGGACGATCATTGGGCCAAGGAGTTGGCCAAGGAAGAGGCTGAACGCAAGGCGAAGCTGCAAGCGGAGGCTGCGGCGGAGGAGGCCAAGAAGGACGCTGAGCGGGCGGCTGCGGAGGAGGCCAAGCGCGTGGCACAGGAGACGCAGGCCGCGGAGGAGTCCGAGCGCGCCGCACGCCAGCAGGCCAAGAAGGCCCAGAAGGCGGCGGCGGCGGCGGCGGCCAAGAAGCGGGCCGAGGCCGAGGAGGAGGCTCAGCGCAAGAACGAGGCCGAGGAGGCTGCGCAGGCGGCGGCGCAGGCGGAGGCGGCGCAGGCGAGAGCGAAGGAGGCTGTTGCGGCGAAAGCGCCAAAGCCGGCGAAGGAAGAGCGCTACAGCTTCGAGCCGCCCATGCTGCCAGCCGCTGGGCATTGGTGGGACGAGCAGGGCACCACGCAGAAGGAGGCTGCAAAGCCGAAGTCTGCTCGGAAAGAGACTGCCGCAAAAGCCGTCGGCGACCCCCACTTGGTGAACATGTACGGACAGCGCTTCGACATCCTGAGGGAGGGCAATCACACGCTGATCCAGATTCCCAGGCATGCGGAACCCAAAGAAACCTTGCTGAAGGTGAACGGCGAGGCTTTGCACATGGGCGGCGCTTGCGCCGACATGTACTTCCGCTCCATCTCCGTAAAGGGCAAGTGGGCCGAAGACTTGGCGTACACGCTGAGCAAAGGGCAAAGCCGCAGCGCTGGTTTCAACTTCTTTGCGGACGCAGCTCACAAGAGCAACAGCACGCACTGGACGCGCTTCGGCAACGAGCTGGACCTGAAGATTATCTGGGGCAGAACGATCACCGGCGTCCGCTACCTCAACATCTTCGTCAAGCATCTGGCCGCTGTGCAGGCCTCCGTCGGTGGTCTCCTCGGCGAGGACGACCACTCGACTATCGCGACTCCTCCGGCGCACTGCAAGCGCACGATCTCCCTCTTGTCCATCGGGAGCCACCTGGGCGCCGGCGTGTCGCAGGGCGACGGCACATTCGACGAGCTGGCGCAGGTGGCGCACGAGTTCGACTACCAGTGAGCTCTGATTCGCACTGGGCGCGCAGATCACCCCCGGCTGCTAGCCCGCTTCCGCCCCACGGCCGGGCGCTTTTTGCGCGTCTACCACACTTTGGAAATCTGGTGCGAGGCCGACGCGGTCTTGGGCGGCGCGTCGGCCGTCAGGGGCAGCACAGGCAGTCCCCCCAGGCACAGCCAAGACGCTGAAGTCAGGAGCAGTTTGGATTCGGAAGGGGCTCGATGTTCCTTACATCCCTCCGTGGTTGTTCCTCTAGCCCTTCTCGTGCACCCAGGTTTTTTTGAAGCCGCAGAGAGGCTTCGTTCCTCATTTCGCGTGCCTGATTTCAGCAGCCCGACTGCAGTCCCGGCTGGCCTCAGCCAGGCCCCACGGAGTAGTCACAGCTGGCCTCAACAGGCCCCCTATTGAGCAGTCTGGGGCGGCTCTCACGCCTCGACCCTGGGGCGCAGAGCGCCCCTGGGGCGCCGCCGCAGGCGGGCGGCCTGTTTCTTGGCATCGCTCGGGCGCGTGCATGTTTTCCTCGGCGAGGGCCCTCGAGGACCATCCTGGACCATCGAGCAAAAAAAAACACGCACGAAGCCGCAAAATGCACGGGATATGGACGTCCGAGCGATGGCGAGGTTTATGCCAGCTGGGACTACTCGGGGAGCCTGCTGAGGCCAGCCAGGGCCAGGACAACCCAGGAGCCGTCCGGGTGCACCCAGAAGCCTTGCCAGTCTGGTTTCCCTTGAGATCCGACGTCGCGCACCAAAGTGCAACATCGCGATCAGGTATGTCCTGAGCCCTTGACCCCAGGTTTCTGCGGCATGTCTCGAGCCGGGTCACTCTGTGATGGTCCTGGGGCCCGAAGCCAGTCGAAAACGCCCGGTGTGGAAGAAGTGCAACGCCCGGAATGGAGGGTTTTCCTCCCGCGGGACTGCTCGGGGGCTGTCTCTGTGCACAACCCGAAGCCGTACCAGCAGCGACGCCTATCCCTCGTCATCAGCTTCGGGTTTGAGTGTGAATTGTGGCATCGGGGGCGGCCTCCTGGGATCCTCGTGATGGCTCCTGCTTTTTGGGGAGCGGCCCTCTGTACGTTTGCACCTTACAGTGCGCGACGTCTCGTACACCGTTCAGGCGAACGCAAGCATGCATCAAGGGGGCGTGGATTGGTGACGGGCCCCGCTTCCAGGGGAAATCGCGGATATCTCCTCCGCCGAGCGAGGCGGCACTGGCCGCACTCCGGGGAGGGCACCTCCCCCGGTCCGTGGCTCTGGGCACCGCGCGCCAGAGGCAGGGATCGCTGCTCCCTGTCTGCGCGCCCCCGAGCCGTGCTCTTCGGCGGTGCGCTCGAGCGCCCCACCAGGCCCTCGTCGTCAGCTCGCCGGGCCCGCGCCCTCGCGGCGAGGCGGGGCGGGGGGCGTCCTTCCCCGAGGAGGCCCGCCGCGCGGGGCGGCAGGGCGAGTGCCCATGGGCGGGGGCCAGGCGCGGTGGAGGCGCGGCGTCGTCTGGGCGCTGCGGCTGCTCGGGTGCCGCGCTGCAGCGGCGCGCAGAGGGGGGCGTAGGGGGGGGAGGGGGGGGGACCCGCGGAGGAGGAGGGGGAGGAGGAGGGAGGAGGGGAGGAGGAGGAGGAGGAGAGGAGGAGGAGGAGAGGAGGAGGAGGAGGAGGAGGAGGAGGAGGCGAAGGAGGCGAAGGAGGAGCCCTGGAACAGAAAGCCCTCAGGCCAACCATCGCCCCAGGCATCCCAGCGGGGGGCAGTTGACGCCATCATGGGAAGTTGCAAAGGTGTGGAGGTACATTGGACCCTCCTCTGGGGACGTCTTCGTTCGCCGAGGGTTCCCAGAGGAGTCCTCGGCCCCCTCCGGTGGCTATTGACGCCTTCATGTAAAGGTGCGGGGGGGGCCCAAGCAGCCCCTATGATGGAAGCTGCGCGGGGTGTGAGGCCTGTTGACGGTCCTCACGGGTGAGGCCTAAAGACGGTCCTCACCCAGGGGGCAGGGGCGACAGGGCCAGAGGGTTTCTTGGAAGCGCCCCTGCTTCTTAGAAGGCGCGGCGCTCATCTAGAGATGCAAGGCCAGGGCCCTCTAAGAAGCCTTCCCCCCTCCCCCATACGCCCCTCTGCGCGCCCCCAAGGATTCGCCAGGCGATGGACCCAACCACGTGCAGTTGTCAGTACCGCAGATGTGGGTAATCGTCTTCGGTGGAGCTCCCCATGGGCCACGAAACGCTGTGCTGGGCGGGGGAGACCCATGCGAACCCTGCCACTGGGGCCTTCGGTGGAGCTCCCCATGGGCCGCCGAGCGCGCACGCTACACCTGCAAGGCGCGCAAGCACGACATACTGGCAGGCTCGCCCATGCACCCCAGGGATCAGGAACGCGCCGCTATCCTCACAGCGCCCCGATGCACTGGGAGTGCCCCGGCTGCCAGGAGAAGAAAGAACGCGACCACCCCATGCGCGCCCACGCGCTGGTCAGCACTCATGAGCACCAGCACGACCTGGAGGACCACATCACTCCAGCGATCAGCAGGCTCAACTACCCAGCTGCGCAGACCTTCGAGCAGCAGACGAGGCTGTTCTGCCACCCGCACCCACACAAAAATCATGAGCCGGCTCATCATCTAGCGCTGGAGCTCAAGGTAGTGGTTCGGGTAACTGTGCCATTCGAGCTCTAACTAGTGGCTCGGGCGACTGTGTCACTCGACCAGGGATACGAGCCAGTCCAGCAACAGGCGCAGAGCTTCGACGGTCAGTACCCCGAGCTGCCGACACATCTGTAAGCAACCCGACGCCCTCAGACTAGATTCGCGATCGCCGCATTACAAGACCCGTCTTCCATCCGTGAAACTGTTGCAAATATGCAGGATGAATGTGCTCGGCGTCGAGGCGAGAGTCCTTCACTGAAACAAATGCAAGCTTTGAAAGCGAATGTGCGCGGCGCATCAGGCGAGAGCCACATTTTGAAAACGGCCCGCCTTCGATCCGCGAAACCGTTACAATGTCAAGCTTCAGGGTCATAAGTGGTGAAAAAACTCAAGCGGAACTCCTGGCCCGCCCTACCAACATGTCTCGGGGGGCGACGGGGAGGAATTATTTGTTAAGAGCGGGGATGGAGGAGGGGGAGGAGGAGGAGGAGGAGGAGGAGGAGGAGGAGGAGGAGGAGGAGGAGGAGGGAGAGAACCGTCCGTTAGCCCGACGGTGATGGAGACACGAGTGCCCGCCGAGCCGAGCCGAGCCGAAGGGGAGGACCAACACCGGGGGGGAGGTGGACTCGATGGAGCAGAATATCCGACGATCCGTCGCAGGTTACGTAGCGCCTTTTTTGCAGCCACCGTGGCTCAAGCAATGTCGGGGGCCCGGTAGGTCCGTGCACCTCGGCCAAGTAAGCCGTGCGTTTGAGCGGCAGCAGAGATGGCGCACAACGACGTGGCTGGGCTATTGCAGAGACATGGTTACAAAGAGCTCAAAAAGGTAGGGGAAGGATCTTTTGGGAAGGCCCTGCTGGTTCAGTCAGACGACGGCTCCAAGCTCATCTGTAAAATGGTTGACGTGAGCAAAGCGTCGAAGAAGGAGCAGGCGGATGCCGTAAAGGAGGGCCGGCTGCTCGCCAAGCTGAACCATCCATACATCGTGCGATACCGTGAGAATTTTCAGCAAAGCGGTTGGCTATGCATCGTGATGGATTACTGTGAGGGGGGAGACCTTACAGGGCGGATCAAGGAGGCGAAGAAGAACCGGCAGTCCATTCCGGAAGGTCAGGTATTGCGGTGGTTCACTCAGGCCATTATGGCGCTCAAGTATGTCGCGGCGTTCGCCCATCCCGCCACATTGCCCGGATCGTGGACGAGAGGCCTCCCACAGGCTTGTTGGGGTCTCTTGGGGGCCCCTTCTCGGCTCCTCAGTCTGTTGGGCGCCTCTTGAGGGCCTCTTGGTTGCCTCTTCGGGGCCTACTGGCGGTCTCGGGGACCATCTGGGGGTAGAGGGTTCCAGATGTCAGTTCGAGTTCCACCTCTTGAGCCCAATGTGCATCCAGCTTGGCTGCCTCTTGGAAGCCGGAGGGGGCGTCTTGTGGCGATATTGGAGGCCCCTCGGGCTACCTTTGAAGATCTTGAAGCGGACCAGCTGATAATTTTCAGATTGTACACAATTGTTTGGTGTATCAGGGATTGACACTTCCTTGCCTAGAGGGCTCCCTAGGTGGCCCAAGAGATCCCAGAGAAAGTCCCAGGACGATTCTATAACACCATGTTAGGGCATTTGGGAAGCGTGGATCCCAAGCACGATCTCGAGGACTCTAGGACACAAAAATTCATGGAACCCCAGGAGCACCTGGAAGCGCTCAGAGTTCGGTACAACAGTCAACGTTGAGGATTCGAAGAGACTTGAGGGCACACTATTCAGTGTTTACAGCACGGTGGCGGATATCCATGATAAGCATATTCTCCATCGAGACCTCAAGCCAGGGAATTTCTTCCTATCCAAGGACGGTGTAATGAAAATGGGCGACTTTGGTATAGCGAAAGTGCTGGCTTGCACTATCGCAGTGGCACAGACTCAAATCGGAACACCGTATTACCTGAGCCCTGAGCTCTGCCAAGAGAAACCGTACGCGTGGTCTTCGGACATATGGGCGATGGGCTGCATACTGTACGAGCTATGTGCTTTGAAGGTTCCCTTTGATGCAGCGAATATCCCTAGTTTGGTGCAGAAGATATGCAAAGGAGCACTGCCACACTTACCTGAGAATACCTATTCTGCGTTCGTTCGACAGTTGGTCATCAGATTGTTGAACAGGGACCCCAAGCTGCGACCCAGCACTGATGACATATTGGAGTTGCCCAAGATCAAGGATATTATGCGAGAGATGCTTGACGAGTGTCGAGAGAAGGCCGTCGAAGCCGATGCCACGTCCGCGCCTTACCAAGACAGGGCTGGCAAGTATTGCAAGGGTGACATGGTGGAGTACCACTCTGCTGCCCACAAGGACTGGCTGCCCGCCGTGATCATCGATGTGGATGACAGTGGCAAGATCGTTATGGACCTGAAGCCGAACACTTGGGTGGGTGTTGCGGAGCAGGCAGTGAAGATCAGGCCTCGAGAGGACCACGCCAGCGCTGAGCCCGTGCCCGACACGACTGCCCAGGGCGGAGGAAGGCGCCCTTCTGGCGCGCCAGCTGCGCCAAGCAAACGCGCGGGGTCCCGCGCAGCTTCTCCGGCGCCAGCTGCCATGGGGAAGTCGCCCTCGCAGATCCCTTCTGGGCCGACCACCTACTGCAAGGGCGACCCGGTCGAATACCATTCCTCTTCCCACGGGGATTGGTTACCAGCGGTGGTCATCATGACGAACGACGAAGGCGATTTAATCATCGATCTAAAGCCTAATACGTGGATACCAAAAGCGGAGCAGGCCTCGAGGGCAAAAAAACAAACGGATTGACAGAAAGTTGCGGGCGTCCTCGCAGATTTCTGGGATCGGCGCCGAACCCCCCTCCCACATACCCCATTGGCGAGTGAAGCGTGCCAGGGGCAACGCCAGAGGCGCCGCCAGGGCCGTAGAGAAGGAAGTCCAGCGCCGACCCAAGAAAACGGCGCGGACACCCCAGAGCTTGCGCCTGTGGTAAATTCACAGCACGCTGGTGCGGCGGCGACGACAGCGCGGGCGCTCAAGGCTGAATCTCACCAGCTGCCTGAACTAGGCCAGCATGGAGCGATCTCCGATGGCGGACAGCGGCGATCGCTCAAGATTGAGATATCCAGGAAGTGCCTGAAACCAATGCCTACGTGAGCGACGGAAGAAAACGCAATCGACTGCGCCGACATTCGCGCGCAAGTTTCCCGCGCAAGGCCGTGCGCAAGCGCCCTCTTCTCCGCGCAGCGTGCCACGCCGGCGGCCCGCATGAGCCGCGGCGTGAGGTCGCTGCGCCTTCTCGCGTCGGAGCGTCCAGGTCCCACAGGATCGCCTCGCGTGGCGTTGGCCTTGCTCCCTGTCGTCGTCGTCGTCGCCGTCGTCGTCGTCGTCGTCGTCGTCGTCGTCGTCGTCGTCCTAGTCGTCGTGGTCGTCGTCGTCGTAGTAGACGTTGTCGTCGTGGTCGTCGTGGTCGTCGCCACCGTCAGCGCGACGTCACCCAGACGTGGGCCGCTCGTGGCCCCCCCAAAGGCTGGCAGAGTGCGCCGGGCGGCCCCGCCAGCTCGGAGCTCGAGGGCGCCGAGCCCCATGCCCGGGACGGGCGCGGGCCGCCCCGGCGCGCCGCCGCGCGGGCGAGAAAGCCCGCTGCTGCGCGGCGGCGCGGCGATCGTGGGGAAGTGAGGCTTCTCCTCCTCCTCCTCCTCCTTCTCCTCCTCCTCCTCCTCATCCTCATCCTCATCCTCATCCTCATCCTCATCCTGCTCCTCCTCCTCCTCCTCCTCCTCCTCCTCCTCCTCCTCCTCCTCCTCCTCCTCCTCCTCCTCCTCCTCCTCCTGCTCCTGCTCCTGCTCCTGCTTCTGCTTCTGCTCCTCCTCCTCCTCCTCCTCCTCCTCCTCCTCCTCCTCCTCCTCCTCCTCCTCCTCCTCCTCCTCCTCCTCCCCCCCTCCTCTCCTCCTCCTCCTCTCCTGCTCCTCTCCTGCTCCTGCTCCTCCCCCCCTCCTCCTCCTCCTCCCTCCTCCTCTCCTCCTCCTCCTCCTCCTCCTCCTCCAGCCGCACGCCTGCACCGAGCCTGGCCAGGCCGATGCTAGGCCCAGGCTCGGTGTAGAGATGCCTTCCTGCCCAGGCCAGCAGTGCGTGGACACGCCGAGCCTGGGCCCAGGAAGAGCCTGGTCAGGATCTGCGTAGGGGTATTACAGTTGGCGCCCTCTTATCAGGGGGCAATCCATGACATGAACATAATTCGGAGGTCCGCGCACATCTCTCGGATCGTCGCTGGACCCCCCCCCCCCCCCTCAAAGGCGCGCGGAGCGCGCCAGGGGCGGCACCAGAGGCGCCGCCAGGAGGGCCCCACCGCCGATCCGAGAGATCCGCGCCGACCTCCGAGTCGTTATGTTCATGTCATCTTTTAGTTCTCGCATGCGCATTCGTCGTCGTCTGCGTGCTTCTCCCCTCCTTTTCTCCCCTCGCTGGGCAAGCGCATCCTGCCTGGGAGCAGCGCGGCGGCGCGTAGAGCCAGCTGGAGGGCCCGTCTGGAGCCACAGCGCTGCCAGGGTCACTCTCGCGTGAGACCTGCCGCCCTAGTTCTCCACCTTACGGGGGGGGGGATCGGCCCAGAGCGAAGCAGGGCCCCCAAGGAGCTGCCCAGGCGCGCAGCTTTCGGGCTGACACCGAGGGCGCATACTCCGCCAGCGCCCCTCGGCACCCTTCCCCGCCACCCCAGGGAGGCATCAAGCGCACCCCCAACGAAGAGATCATCCTCTGTGCCATGAGGGGGCCGAGAGGGTGCTGTGAGGGGGCCTTCGCGCGCTGGGGGCGGGAGGGGTCTGGGGAGGGGGCCCTGGCGCGGGCGGAGTCGCCGCCCGCTAACGTCCAGAACGCTCTGCTCCTGAAGCTTCCAGGCCCCACCGAGACCAGGACAACGACAAACCAGGACACTGGCAGGTCGGGGAAACGACAGCGAAGTCAGACTGCTAAGGCCTTACGGCCGGGGCCGCCGACCCTGGACGACGACCCCCACGATGGAAGAGGCATCCAGGAAGGTCGGGGTCAGACGCTCCCAAGAGTGCCCAAGAGGCTACACGAGGCCCCCAAAGGGTGCCCAAGAACGTCCACGAAGTGTGGGGGGTGCCTTGGGAGCGTTTGGGAGCCCCCTGGGGCTTCCTGGCGGTTCCTTGGGAGCGCCTGGGAGCTTCGTGGAGGCCTCTGGGGGGCCTCGTGGGCCCTGGTACCCCCGGGGGGGGCTAGTATTCTGACCGGGAACCCCCCACACCCCCAGGGCCCTCCCCCCCGGCGGGGAAGGGATCGAAGGGAAGGTGTTTCCAATCGACTCAATTACGACGTGGCTCAATTTCGCTCAGGCTGTTCCGGTTTGGCTGGCGCGCTAAAGGAGGAGGGCACAGGGAAAAGAAGGGAGCGGCGACGGCGAAGACGAAGGCGACGACGACGGCGACGACGAGTCAAACGAAACAGCCTCTCGCACGCGCCGACAGGATCGGCGCACTTGGTCGTCCAGTGTAATTTGTCTGCTGCACTGCAGGATTCTTTTCTATGTCTGGATATCCGGAGTTTTTGACAACTTTAGAGGTTTCTGTCCAGGCTTACTCCAGGAATGTTGCAGAGCAGTTGTTTGTTGTTCCGCCGTCTGGAAAATATCTCTAGGGAGTCCTGGTCTAGCGTGCCTGGGGCTTCCAGATGTCTTGGTCCCCCAGGGAAACACCGACCTCACATTTCGGCTTTCTCAGAAGGTGGCCAGGCCTTCTCAGAATCCCCCATGGCCTTCCGAGAAGCCGTCTGTCTTTGCAGAAGGCCCCGAAAATTCGCCAGGAGGCCCGAGGACCTCTGAGAAGCCACGCCGCCTTCTGAGAAGGCCTGCCCCCTGTGACTCCCCCCCTCGGCGCGCCGCCGAACACCGCCTGTGCGTCGCCGATCTGGGCGTGGGCACCCAGCCCTGCCAGGTGGCGCGCGTCTCCGCTGTGCAGGGAGGGCCCGTCGTCGACTTCTCCGCGACGGTGCTCCCCCCCCTGGGCCAGTGCCCCCCCCCGTCGCTCCCCCCTTCGGATCGGCGACGAGGAGCAGCGGGGGGTCTGCGCGAACACTGGCGCGTGAGCCACCCGCGCAAGGGCCGCGCACCAAGCGCGCTCCTCTCCACGCGGTCGGCTGCGCTGGCGGCCCCGCGCAAGCCGCCGCGTAAGGTCGCCGTGTCCTCGTGCATGATGCCCTTTATCTCGGAGGTGGACAGACCTCCTACCCTGACACGTCGATTGAGGAATTGGCCGTTTTCGGTTCGCGAGAGGGCGTCGCGGCCGTCATTTTTGCGGGTCCAGGTCCGTCGATTTCGGCCCTAGGTCGTTTTCCCTAAGGGGAGGTTTACTAAAGGGAGGTTTGTCCACCGCCGATTATCCTTTCGTCGCCCAGATGTGCCGTGTGCACCGTGCTGCTGGTCTGCTTGCTGCCCAGGCCTCAGGGCGTGCCGCCAGGCCACGCCTCTGCACGCCAAGCTCCCAAAAGGGCCTTTCCTGGACGCTCCCCTGACGGGGACGGCCCGCGCCCTTCCCCCACCCTTCCGCAGCGCCGCGCCGACTTCGTCGGTCAGAGCTCGGCGTCGACGAGCGGCCCTGAGAAAGGGCCCAGCGCTTTTTGTTGGGAGCCAGCCTGGCGACGGTCGGGAACTTTGGCTCAGCGTGTCGCGCCGCTGGTGCTGGCCCACTACGCCTCTGCGCGACACGCGATCCACGTCCCGGTCTCCCGGCGTCCATGTCCTGAGCTTTTCCGAGCCCCCCGCGGAGCGGAGCGACGCGCTATCAGGTCGCAGGGCATAGCAGGTCGCTGGGGCCGCCGCCGCGACACGCTATGGAAAAGTTCCTGCCCGTAGACTGCCCATGCAGAAACCCATGTTCACAAATAGGTGCAAATCTTACGGTCGCAGCTGCCGCCAAAAGCGCGCAGACGCAACAAAAGTCTGCGGTGTGCCTCGTCTTGTCTCCCAGGCCACGAATTATAGCACGAGTTCGCCTATGGCGGCTCTGCTCGTTCAGCGAGCTCGGCTTGCCAGACTGCCTCCGAACACGCTGTGGCGTTTGCAACGGCACGGAGAGAGTGTTCTTTCCCTCCAAAAGAATGCATCACACACAGCCAGCTCACTGACGGCCGACAGTCAGTTTTGGCCACGACGTCCCCCTCATCATCCTCACCACCGCCACCACAACCACCATCATCATCATCATAATCATCATCATCATCATCATCATCATCATCATCATCATCAGCATCAGCATCAGCATCAGCATCATCGTCATCATCATCATTACCATTACCCGTATCATCATCAGCATCATCATCATCATCATCATCACCATCATCATCATCATCATCAGCATCGTCATCGTCATCGTCATCGTCATCATCATCAGCAGCATCTTCCTTCTCATCCTTTTCTCATCCTCCTCATCATCCACTTTTCGTGTCCAGAGTCTGGGTGTGGATGAAGTAGCGGGGCCTGACACCGCCCCGCACCACCGCCTCCGAGGAGGCCTGGAGATCCTGGTGGACAATGCCAAGAACGGTGCGCCAGGCTGCCGAGAGTCTTTTTCGGAGTCGCCGAGCACTGCGCCACGGGCTGGCGGGGCTTTCGATACTTGTTCTGCAGGGTCCCTGGTTGCCGCATCGAAGCCAGGAGGATGGAGGAAAGGAGGAGGAGGAGGACGGCGACGACGACGACGACGACGAGGCACGGAGGAGGGCGCTGGGGTTGCACAATGTTGGGCAAGCTGCTGGTGGTCATCCTATTGTTGTTGTCGTGTCAGGCGTTTGTATAAGGCCGTTCCGCAGTGGGCACAGCAAACCAGGCTTCTGGAGACTTGGGGGGGGTGCTCCGCAGGGGAGGGATCATACAGCGTTGCCGAGACGTCGGGCATGAGCAAGCTGTCAGGGCAGGTGGTAGACTGAACGGCTGGAGAGTGCATTGCATTCTAGACTTGTTCCACTAATCATGTAGAAGCGCGGTCAAGTAGAATGTATGGGAAAACCTGGCCCGATATGCATACATGCAATCCGAACGCATAGTTGTGGCAGTTTGCTAATCCAGGTTGATGCCAGCACCACGATTGTTATTCCCCGCCAGGCAGACTACGCGTACGCCGCTGCGCTTACGGCCAGGGGCAGAAGCCACGAGAGACGTCAGAACGCACCATCCTCTCTCGCCTGAAGAAAGATTGGGAGATGGCACAGTCTTTCAGGTAGGCATGTGAGCAGGGCCCACTGGATGTCCCCCAGCTGTCATCGTGTGAAGTAGGTTGGCCGTTTGTTGTTCTAGCGGGACTGCGCTTAAGTGCACCACCCCCGCATCTCTCTACCTCACCTCTCTTTCTCTTGGTCGGCTCTGTGCAGCAGTAGTCACAGGGTTTAGGCTCCTGCCCTGGCCTCGCGCACCGCAATAGCTACAACCGTAGCGTTGGGTGAGCTTCGGCTGAGATTATGCAATTAGCCAGCGGTGCCTTGCTGCCCTCCCTGCAAACCACTAGTTCAGAACGCATCGCTCCGACTGTACAGATCACAGCACGACTGCCGCCTGGGGCACACGGGCGACGTTGCCAGTATTCTCCCCACACACTATATGTGTACCATAGCGTGGCACCTTTGGAGCAGATGCCATGCGTGATCAAGTTTTCTCCTGGCCGTGTGCG